ACGGTGGAACTGGAACGGATGGTTTGGGCGGTGTGCGCGGTGTTCAGAAGGCCGTGCAAGGCCGGCGCGGGGTCACGCCTGTCATCCAGCACTCTGGGAGCCCGAGGGGCGATTGCTCGCAGTCAGGAGTTCGAGACGCCTGAGCAAAGAGCAGACCCCTCTCCACTATAAATAGAAAGAAATTAATTGGTAAACTAATATATTATGAAAATGCAGCCGGCATGCGTGCGCATGCCTGTAGTCCCAGCTACTCGGAGGCTGATGCAGGAGGATCGCTTTGAGCCCAGAGTGGAGTTGCTAGTGAGCTAGGCTGAGCCGCACGGCCACTCTAGCCCGGGAGCAGAGTGGGAGACCTGTCTCAAAATAAAAAAAAAAAAAAAAGAAGAAGGGCATGCAAGAGAAGGAGCCCCCAGTCCTTTGCGGGGCCGGGCAGCCTGGGGAAAGGACAGAAGGAAAGAAATCCATGCTCTGTCCTTGTGGACTTTGGAATACTGAACCGTGTAAACAAATACAACTTAAAAATATCTTCATCCGCAAGAGGCCAAATATATCCTCCCATCTCAAAGCAGGAGGGTGGGTGGGGTAAGAAAGTCCTGCTGGCTGTTCCTGGAGGCTGGGCAGGGTCTGCATGTGTGTGTGTGTGTGCATGTGTGGGTGGGTGCATGCGTGTGTGTGTATGCGTGTGGGTGGTCATGTGTGGGTGTGTGCATGTGTGAGGTGTGTGCCATGGTGGGTGTGTGCATGCGTGGGGTGTGCATGTGGATGTGGGTGTGTGATCGTGGTGTGTTCTGTGTTGGTGTTGCATGTTGGTGTGGGTGTGCATGCGTGTGGGTGTGTGCATGTGTAGGTGTGTGCATGTGTTGTGTATGGTGGTGGGTGTGTGATGTGTGTGGGTGTGTGCATCGGTGTGTGGTGTGTGCATGCTGTGGGTGTGCATGTGTTGTATGTTGTGTTGGTGTGTGCATGTGTGTGGTTGTGTGCATGTTGGTGTATGTGTGTGGGTGTGTGCATGCGTGTGGAGTGTAATGCATTGTGTGGTTGTCATGTGTGGTGTGGTGCATGTGTGGGTGTGTGCATGTGTGTGGTATGTGTGGTGGTGTGTCTGTGTGGTGCGTGTAGATGTTAATGCAATGTTTTTAGCAGATACACAGCCCACTGTGTAAATTAAACCCAAGGGACTCTGTCGGCTCCCAGAGTTAAGTGATTTCATGTGCACTTTGGTGATTATGCCCTCCCTCGATAAAACACAGCTTTCTATTTTCGCGTACGGAAGGTTCCCGGACCAGGCGAAGGGTCACCCTCCCTGCCCGCCGAGGCACGAAGCTGGTGGGGTGGACAGCCCAGAGGAGGCTTGGGCTTTGGCCGCCTAAGAGGGAGGCCCCGGAGAACCCACCTCGTCGGGCAGCGACGGGCCCAAGCGTGTTCCTCTGGACGGCGGGGCTGGCGGCGGAGCTCTTGTCTCAGAAAGAAACACGTGGCCGCTGAGCCAGCGTTTGGTTTGCTGGCGGCCTGAGTGTTCCTGGCTCTCCGACTAGCTGTCCTGCGAGGTCCCCTGGGACCTTCAGGTGATTTAGACGTGTCTTCCTTCATGTTCAAGTATTTCGGACTCTTTTTTCAGACGCTGTGGCCGTAGAACATCTCCGTCCGTTCCGTCCTCGCGGTGGGGCCCGCCTGTCGGTCAAGCACGAGCTGTCTGGGGGACATCTCGTGCGCTCAGCAGGAGCGAGCCACTTCCACGCTGCAGGGTGATAGTGTTCAAACCCACGCAAGGTCAAAGGGCTGCTGGCGCTGCCAAATCTCGTGCACTTTTACTGATTATTTTTTTTTTAATGCTATCGCTTCTAATGAGCTACCCAGAGTGGGAGTAAATCTCCCAGTTAGGACTTGTGCGTTTCTTTACGACCATAAATGTCCCGCTTCATGGCATTTCAACTCTGTTATTAGGGTGCACACGTTTCCCTATGCAATAAGTCCATAATATATACATGTTTTATTAATAATGTATGATATATGACAGAGGTTCAGGATGTCTGTGGAAGATTCGCATGTGGCACACGCAGGTGCCTGTGGCTCACTCCCGCCTGCCAAGCTTTGGTCAGCTCCTCCTCCCCTGCCGTTTCACGGACACTTTCCTTCTTGCAGAGTTTCCTCATGCACACGAAAGAAGAATGCAGTCATACGTGTTGGTATGCTTGCCGTCAGAGTTTAGCGATCGTACAACACCTCATGCGAGGTTCTTGTTTTCCCCACGGCGGTGCCACTGGCCTCCGCCCTGCCGCACACAAACGTCGCCCTTCCTACCAGCTCTGCCAGGCAGCGGCGGGTGTTCATCCCCGGTTATTTAAAAGCGCCACCGCCGCGGCCGTCGGGTGGTCCACACCTTGGCTGTTGGCACGGTGCTGCCTCTCCTGCCCCAGCTTCCCCCTGCTGCACTGGTCCCACCTGGTCACACAGTGCCATCTGCCCCACCCCCCCACTGCCCTACTGCCCATCCACCCACCTGCCCACCCTGCCCTCACCTGCCCCAGCTCCCCTGCTGCACTCTCCCACCCAAGCACCATCCCAACGCTGCCCGCTCAGCACACCTTGCCTGGGAACGGCCAGAGTAAAGGCAACCTCCTTTCTCTCGTACGAAGGCTGGGTGGGGATGACAGTGAACACTCGTCATTTTATTTCCTTCACACACAGGTGCCCGCGATGTGTGTGGGTGTGTGCATGTGTGTGGGTGTGTGCATGTGTGGATGTGTGCATGTGTGTGGGTGTGTGCATGTGTGTGAGTGTGTGCATGTGTGTGTATGTGTGTGGGTGTGTGCATGCGTGTGGGTGTGTGCATGTGTGTGGGTGTGTGCATGTGTGTGAGTGTGTGCATGTGTGGGTGTGTGCATGTGTGTGTGTATGTGTGTGGGTGTGTGCATGTAGATGTATAATGCAATTGTTTTTAGCAGAACACAGCCCCACTGTGTAATTAAACCAAGGGATCTGTCGGCTCCCAGAGTTTAAGTAATTTCATGTGCATTTGGTGATTATGTCCCTCTCCTCGGATAAAAGCACAGCTTCTATTTTCGCGTACGGAATGGTTCCCGGACCAGGCTGAAGGGTCACCCTCCCTGCCCGCCGCGGCACGAAGCTGGTGGGGTGGACAGCCCAGGGAGGCTGGGCTTCTGGCCGGCGCTAGAGAGGGAGGCCCCGGGAAGCCCCACCTCGTCCGGGCCAGCGACGGCGCCCAGCCGTGTTCCTCTGGACGGCGGGGGCTGGCGGCGAGCTCTTCGTCCTCGGAGAACACACGTGCTCGGCTGAGCCAGCGTTTGGTTGCTGGCGGCCTGAGTGTTCCTGCTCTCCGACCCCCTGTCCTGCGTGGTCTCCCCTGGGACCTTCAGGTTATTTAGACGTGTCTTCCTTCATGTTCAAGTATTTCGGATTTTTTTTCAGACGCTGTGGCCGTAGAACATACTCCGTCCGTTCCGTCCTCTGCGGTGGGGCCCGGCCTGTCCGCGGTCAGCACGAGGCCGGTCTGGGTGGACATCTCGTGCGCTCAGCAGGAGCGAGCCTTCCACGCTGGCAGGGTGAGTATTCCGTAAGTCCCACTTGGTCAGAGGGGCTGCTGGCGCTGCTCAAATCTCGTGCACTTTTACTGATTTTTTTTTTTTATTGCCTATCGCTCTATGAGCTACCCAGAGTGGGATGTGAAATCTCCAGTTAGGACTGTGCGTTTCTTTACGGCCATAAAATGTTCCGCTTCATGGCATTTTCAACTCTGTTATTAGGTGTGCACAGGTTCCCCTATGCAAATAAGTTCATATATATACATGTTTATTAATTAAATGTATGATATATGACAGAGGTCAGGATGTCTGTGCAGATTCGCATGTGCACACGCAGGTGCGTGTGGCTCACTCCCGCCTGCCAAGCTTTCGTCAGCTCCTCTCCCTGCCCGTTTCATGGGGAACCACTTTTCTTCTTGCAGAGTTTCTTCATGCACACGAAAGAGAATGCAGTCATACGTGTTGGTATGCCCGCCCGTCAGAGTTAGCGGATCGTACACACTCCTGCGAGGTTCTGCTTCCCCATGGCGATGCCGCTGGCCCCTGGCCCTGTCGGCACACAAACATCGTCCTCTCCCTCCAGCTCTGCCCAGGCAGTGGCGTGGTGTTTCATCCCGGTTTATTTAACCAAGTGCCACTGTCGCCCGGCCATCGGCTGGTCCCACACATTGGCTGTTACGCACGGTGCTGCCTCTCCCTGCCCCAGCTTCCCCCTGCTGCTTCCCACCTGGTCACACCTGCCCCATCTCCCCCACCTGCCCCACCTGCCCCAGCTTCCCCCTGCTGCACCTGGTCCCACCTGGTCACACCTGCCCCATCTGCCCCACCTGCCTCACCTACCCCCACCGCCCCACCTGCCCCACCAGCCCCACCTGCCCGCTCAGCACACCTTGGCCTGGGAATCGGCCGGGTAAAGGCAACCTCCTTTCTCTCGTAGAAGGCTGGGTGGGGGATGACAGTGAACACGCGTCATTTAATATTTTCCTTCACACACAGGTGCCCGGTGCACGGGCCTTGCCCTCCGGGAAGCTCAGTGTGCGGTGCGCGTGTGCGCAGCCACGCCCAGCGGCTGAGGAAATCGCTGGCTGGCGCGAGGAGGCTCTGTGCAAAGACCCCCCAAATAGTGGCGGCGCTGTGCAGCTGCGGCTTCTGTACCGGGCGCTCTGGCCTAGTGGTCACAAGCCTGGGTGTCTCGCCCCGAAGTCCCAGCTCTGCTGCTGACTCACTGCGTGTTCTCAGGCAGTTACTTTGCCCCCAGAAAATGGGGAGTTATAGCTGACGCTGGGAGGGGGCTTGTCACACACCCAGTGACACCCTTAAGAGCATTGGATCTATTTATTTATTTATTTAAAGACAGAGTCTCACTTTGTTGCCCGAGCTAGAGTGAGTGCCGTGGCGTCAGCCTAGACCACAGCAACCTCCAACTCCTGGGCTCAAGCGATCCTCCTGCCTCAGCCTCCCGAGTAGCTGGGACTACAGGCATGCGCCACCATGCCCGGCTCATTTTTTTCTATATATTTTTTAGTTGGCCAATTAGTTTCTTTTTATTTATAGTAGAGATGGGGTCTCGCTCTTGTTCAGGCTGGTTTTGAGCTCCTGACCTTGAGCAATCCTCTTGCCTTGGCCTCCCAGAGTACCGGGATTACAGGTGTGAGCCACCATGCCCGGCTAATTTTTTCTATATATTTTTAGTTGGCCAATTAATTTCTTTCTATTTTTAGTGGAGATGGGGGTCTTGCTCTTGCTCAGGCTGGTCTTGAACTCCTGACCTTGAGCGATGCTCCCTCCTTGGCCTCCCAGAGTTCTGGAATTACAGGCGTGAGCCACCCTGCCCGGCCAAGAGCTTTGGATATTTAATCCCATTGACTTGACAACATTTTGAGGACGGTCACGTTATTTCCCCCATTGTGTAAGTCTTTCTGGGGCCCAGTGAGGTTAAGCAACTTGCCCAAGGCCACACAGCTCAGCAGAGCTAGGATTCAACCTTAGCCATCTGGTTTCAGGTTATCATGAGGGTTAAATGCATCAGTGAACACAAAGCGTAGAGCCCAGGACCTGGTGCATAGTACATGCTCATTAAATCTTAGCTCTTGTCACCGCAACTTGCCCAAGGGATTGGTATATGGCAAGTCCTGCCTAGGAGGAGAGCAGGGGGGAGTGCAAAATAGCCATGTGCACTTATGAACGTCAAAGGTTCAAATTTCCTCGGTTCAATTCTTAAAATCTCTCTGCTCAGGGGAGAGGAGGCGGAAGGAGCAGCTGCCGCTGGGGTCAGGTGGAAAACGGAGGTGTAGGGTGGAGGGGGTGAGCCTGGGTCACCCTGTCATCAACAGCCATGCCCAAGGAGTCTGGCTTCCCGTCACCGGCCTCTGGGATCGTGCTCTCCGGGGCTCCGTGGAAGTGAAATGTGCAAATGATTTGGAGCCCCCTCGCCTGCCTCTGCAGCACACAGAGAGGCAAAGAAGTTAGCAAGCTTGTTTTGGCAGAGGAAAAAACACAAAACGCCCAACCACAGGATTCTCAAAAATATTGCTAAGCACTAATTTTGCTAACATGTTAGACAGCCCTCGGATCCAGGCAATCTTGTTCCTGGGCTGGAAATGGTTCCCGAAAGCCATGTGACTCCCAAATCCACCCTGAGCATCTGGGGATAATGAGAAAATCAGCTCCGGCCGCCCCCTGCCTTCCCGCCGGGGCTGAGCGGGCCATCCCTGGTGCCCCCCACTCCCCCGGGCCAGGGCCTCCCCCCAAACGATGCCAGCTGGTTCGAGGCGGCCTCGGCCCTGCCCTCCCGAGCTCAGTTCGGACCCGGAGGTTTCCTGGCCCTCAGAATAATGGGTCAGACCCAAACTCACTGCCCAGGTCAAAGCCACAGCTGCAGAAAGCCACTGCAGGGGGAGACAGGCCCCTCCCTGGCACAGTCCCCGGTCCTCCAAGGGCAGCGTCCCCGTCCAAACGGGCTGGGTAACGAGACAAACGGCATAGCATCGCTGTTAAGAAGGTAATGAGTCACAAATGCTATTTCGATGGCTTTCTTTGAAAGAAATACACACAACCAAACCGATTTTAATTAAAGATCTTGTCTTTGTAATCAGGCAGCCGCAAACGAAGGCAAAACTGCTTTCATGTGGCGTAATATACACAGAGCTGAACTAGTTTGCCCATAAAAAGGCAGGGCTCTTATTTTTATTTTTTCAAATAAAATAGTTTGTTCCTAACAATATGTGGGATGCAACAACAGCAACAACAAAACTATCTTTTTTTTTTTTTTTTTTGCAAAGTATAAAATTCCGAATCCTCCTGTGGAAGCCATTTGTTGACGTTAAACCGATCGTAGCGTTTGCCAAATTCTCATGCCGGCCGGGATCACCCTCCCCTTTGAGATTGGACATGTGATCCTGATTGTTAAGGGGAAGACGCAGCTGAAAACCAAATAAACATACCTACAAGTACATCTGAGGCTCCGATGGTCGGGCAATGATTGTAGCACACCGCAGTGTGTATTTCTGCGGCAGAATCAACGTGGAGATGAAAAAACGAGGTTTTGGTGTTTAGCTTTAAAGCTACGACAGAATCAAAATACCTCCCCTACGTTTGCCCTCTGAGACCAGCGAGGAGATGGTTGTTTTCGGTTAAATACGCATGTAATTTAATAATCCGCAGACAGGCGGACCCGTCCGAGGAGGCCGGAGTGAGCACAGCCCGGCGTTATCCTTTTATTGACAGCGCCGAATCGCATCGTCACGCGGTAGAGTGGCCGGACCGCCCCCGCCACCCGGCGCTGGCCAGCCTCTGGTCACTGCTGGGGAAGCCTCCCAGGGCAGCCCTCCTCTCCTGTCTCCCCCCTCGGCATCCCCAGGACGGGGGCCTAGGAGGGCACCAGGCGATTATTTGCAAACACGTGAACCTCGGGGGGCAGCAGGATGTGACGTCGTGTTGACTCGTAGGAGACTTTTTCTTTTTTTTTGAGACAGAGTCTCGCTCTGTTGCCCAGGCTAGAGTGAGTGCCGTGGCATCAGCCTAGCTCACAGCAACCTCAGACTCCTGGGCTCAAGTGATCCTCCTGCCTCAGCCTCCCAAATAGCTGGGACTACAGGCGTGCGTCACCATGCCCGGCTAATTTTTTATATATATATTAGTTGGCCAATTAATTTCTTTCTATTTTTAGTAGAGACTGGGTCTGGCTCTTGCTCAGGCTGGTCTTGAACTCCTGACCTCGAGCAATCCGCCTGCCTCGGCCTCCCTGAGTGCTAGGATTACAGGGGTGAGCCACCACGCCCGGCCTGCAGGAGACTTTTTAAGCATCTTTGGGTGGAAGCATCTTTGGGTGGGTAACTGTCTATATTGGTCTTACACGTTCTGAATGTTGTTATCTGGTGACAACCAGAGCATGTGATGGGACAGTAGAGGATACTGGACGAATTCTAAATGCAGGCTAGTCCCGTTCTGTCCGAATGACGAAACGCACGCAGGTGGGGCGGCAAGGTGGGCGGTATGAACTGGTACCCTCGTGCTGGGCTGCACCTGTCTGCCAGCCCCTCCCTTCCCACGTGGGATCTGACCTGTCCTCGTGTTTCATCAAACCTTGGCCGGGCGCGGGGGCTCACGCCTGTCATCCCAGCCAGCACTCTGGGAGGCCGAGGCAGTCAGATTGCTCAAGGTCAGGAGTTCAAAACCTGAGCAAGAGCGAGACCCCGTCTCTACTATAAATAGAAAGAAATTAATTGACCAACTAAAAATATACATAAAAAAAATTAGCCGAGCACGGTGGTGCCTGCCTGTCGTCCCAGCTACTCGGGAGGCTGAGGCAGGAGGATCGCCTGAGCCCAGGAGTGTGAGGTTGCTGTGAGCCAGGCTGATGCCACGGCACTCTATTCTGGGCAACAGAGTGAGACTCTGTCTGAAAAAAAGAAAATCTTGCATGAGAACAGCAAAGCCAGCGCTCAGTACCGCTCTGTCCGGGGCGGGCACGGTTCGAGTCAGGCAGAGTCATGCCCTCTGCATTATCTTGCCCCGTGTGCCCTGAGTTCCGAATGCGTTTCTCGGGCCGGCAAGTGCTGGAGAACGACACAGCACAGCGTTGTTGGTGGTGAGGACAGGCGCTGCGTCCTCACTAGCCACCGTCATTGTCGTTCTCCAATCCACAGAGCCACGCGGAATTCCAACACGGCAGGCAAGAGCGTAAGTTGTGGGCTCAGACAGGGCTGGGCTCCACCGCTGACGGCATTACTAGCTTTGGGACAGTTTTCCCGTCTGTCCAGCGGAGACGACAGCGTCAGGTGCCCCAGGTGCTGGTGTGAACACGCTCGGAATTGCGGCCATAGAAACCTGAGCCCGCCCCCTGCGTAGACCGTGAGCCCGCGGTGTGTTGCGGCTGCAGCTTGGCTGATGTTGTTGCCACCGGAAGCAGAAGTCTCTTTAATATTTGCACACCACATCCTTTATCTGATTTAGACACCGTTTTTGAAACGCTACGAGCTTTAAACATAGAACTACCCTGTGACACAGCGGTTCCACTCCTAGGTTTCTGCCCGAGAGAACTGAAAGCGTGCGTCCACGCGAAGACTTGCGCGCACGTGTTAACGGCAGCAGGCCCCACGGCAGTCAAAGGTGGAAGCAACGTCCATCAGTGGGTGGCGGACATGCAAGTGTGGTCTGTCCACACAGTGGAATTCGAGTCAGCCGTGGAAAGAACGGAGCCCTGATGCGTCACGCTAGGTGGAGTATCGCGCCGACGCGAGAGGACAAGCACCGTCTGAGCCCCTCACGGGAGGGCTAGCGTGGTCAAGTGCAGAGACAGCGTCGATTCAGGAGGGGGACACAGGGAGTCGTTGTTTAACTATTTGATGGTTACGGAGTTTCCATTTGGGGAGACAGAAAAGTTTCAGAACTAGATACAATGTTTCCCTGAAAATAAGACGGGGTCTTATATTTGTTTTTCCTCAAGAAGACACCCTAGGGTTTATTTTCAGGGGATGTGTTATTTTTTTTTAAAGTATGGCACAACCATCTACATTTGTTCAAATATAATTAAGTCGTCTTCTTCTGGAACATCATCATCACTCTCCAAACCCCGAATTCCACCCTGAATGTCTTGCGATTCTGTTTCCTTTAGAACCATCGGCCCCGATCTCTCACGTGGAGCCACGGAGCTCTCACGGGGCGGATGAGAAGGGCTGCTCGTCTTCTTTCCCGCTCCGCGACGACACGCACGGGTCGTGCAGACGCGCTGCGCAGCCACGCCCGTCGCCAGGTCTCATTTTCGGGGCGGGGCTTCTATTGCGCACATGCTTAGACATCCTGCCAGGGCTTATCTTATGGGTAGGTCTGATTTTCGGGGAAACACTGTAGTGGTGACGGTTGGGCAACATTGTGAAAGTAATTAATGCCTCTAAAATTTACACCTAAACATGGTTAAAAGGGCAAGTTTTGTGTTATATATACAATTTTTTAATGTGGTGAGCTGTGATTTTCTTTCCTGTAGTAAACTGGTCAACGTCCTTCTTGTGGCTCGATTAACACGCGCTTCAGCTGCCCTGCCCCGAAGACCAGTTTTCTGTCTCATGTGACACCCACACGCAGCGTTTGCCGAGGCGAGGGGACCACGTCGGAGCCAGGCGTCCGCAGAACCCACGGCCTCGGTGTTTCATACACCATGCACCGTGTGAAGAGACCGTGTGAAGAGAGTGGCCCGCTTACACACACGGACCACGGCCACCGTCCTGCCCGGACACACGTTCTCGGAGACGTGAGCGGAGAACTTTCTGCTCGGGGACTCTGGCACTGTGCCCTTCTCTACCCGGACTCTTCTCTCTCCTGCCTCTTTCCCGCGCACACATTCCAGGCTGTTCCAGGCTGTTCCAGGCTCTCCACTTCGTCCCCAGAGAGCCGGATGGGGCTGTGTGTGTGGCCGCAGACCCCGGAGCCTGCCTTCGCTCTGTGGCTGGCGAGCTTGCCCGGGGATCGGACGTCCCTGCAGACGGCACCAGCGTCGCCGGCACGGTGAGGGCTGCTGGTCGGTGGCATCCGTCACATGCCTAGAACATTTTTGTCTTTAACCAACACACTTTTTTTTTTTTTAGCACAATTTTAAGTTTACAGAAAAATTGAGCAGAAAGTACAGCGTTTCCACATAACCCCTTTGCACCACACCCCACTCCCGGGCGTTCCTATTATCTGTATCTCATGGCACTTTTGTCACCATTGATGAGCTAGTGTCGATACGAATATCGATACGTTGTTATTAATTAAGGCCCATACTTTACATTAGGGGTCACTGTGCATTACACGGTTCCAGTGACAAATGTCCCAGGACATATTCCCGCCATGACAGCCTCACACCGAGTAGCTTCACTGCCCCCAAAGCCCCCACCCAGACAACTGTGGATCTTGTTGCTATTCTCATAGTTTTGCCTTTTAAATAATGTCACACAGCGGCGATCGTAGAATACGTAGCCCTGTCGAGACTGGCTTCTTTCACTTACTAATATGCATTGTTGTTTTTTTTTTGAAACAGTGTCTCGCTATGTTGCCTGGGCCAGAGTGCCCTGGCGTTTGTCAGCCCAGCTCACAGCAACCTCCAACTCCTGGGCTCAAACAATCCTCCTGCCTCAGCCTCCCGAGTAGCTGGGACTACAGGCATGCGCCGCCATGCCCGGCTAATCTTTTCTATCTATTTTTAGTTGGCCAATTAATTTCTTTCTATTTTTAGTAGAGACGGGGTCTCGCTCTTGCTCAGGCTGGTCTTGAACTCCTGACCTCGAGCGATCCTCCTGCCTGGGCCTCCCAGAGTGCTAGCATTACAGGCACGAGCCACCGGGCCCGGCCTATTAATACTCATTTAAGGCTTGTCCACATCTTTTCCTGGCTTCCTACTCCATTTCTTTGTATGACTGAGTGGCAGCCCACTGTCCGGAGGTGCCACGTTTGTTTGTCCACCCACCTACCGAATCTTGGCTATTTCCATGGTTTGGCGATTATAAATAAATAACACTGCTACTCACATCGTGTGCATGGTTTTTGCCTAGAGGTAAATTTTCAACTCATTCGGGTGGACACCCAGGAGCACAATTCCTGGGCCCTGGGATACAGTGTGTTTGGTTTTGTAAGAAACCACCAAGCTGTCCTGCACACCGGCTGTGTGTTTCCTACCCCAGCCTCGGAGAGGGAGAGCTCCTGGCACCCTGCACCCCACCAGCATTTGGTGTTGGAGTCTGGGATTTTAGCCACTCGGCAGGTGGGTGCTGGCATGTCCCTGTGTTCATCCCGCAGACTCTACCTCGCTGCCACGCGGGCAGGTAAGCGCCCAGAGGAAGGGGAGCAGGCTTCTCAGCGAGCGCCGCTGGACACGGCCTGTACCCGGCGCTCGGTCAGGAAACCAGCAGCCGCGGCTCTCAGCTGCCCCCCGGGCCCCGGGTACGTCATTCCCAGGGGCTCTGTCTTGCCCGGGGAACGCCCGCCTCGGAGAAGAGGAGTAAAGAGAGAGAACCCAAAAGGCAGCTAACGTGGCACGGAACCCACGGATCGAGAATCAGGAACATCAGAGACCGAAGCTCTCTGGGTGCATGCACCGCTACAAACCCTAGAGATTCTGGGAAGCAGATGTTCTCTGCACAGAAATACAACCAGAAATGTGTTGACTCAGCGTGAAAACAATAGGACTCCCCGAGGCCATGGAGTCGTTGGTTTATTTGTATCAGGCTCATCTGATAAAGTGGTTTCCCCGAGCCAGGCACAGACTGGGAATGCCAAGTCCCGGTGGTGCTGCCTCGGTGTCTGGCCGGGACTTCCAGGTCGGTGTCGCGGATGGGCCAGCCCAGCACCCGCCCACGGGGATGGGGAGGAGGGGGGTGGGCTCCTTCCGGCCCCTCCCTGTCCTCAGCTCTCTGGGGCCTTGCTGGCCTCCAGGAGAGAAGGGGACGGTCTGAACCCAAGGAGAGGGCCTGACCGCTTGGCCCGGGGCTTAGGGACCCGGGATGGCACGCCACCCAGCCGGAGCTGCCCCTGGCAAGGCGAAGGTGACAAGGTGAGGGTGGAGGATTTCTGCACGTGCAGATCTGTAAGCAGCCCAAACTCAGGTCTTTACTGGTCTTTCAAGTCAGGAGGCAACATTTCCACCCTGGCAGCAGATGACCTTGCATTTTGTTGCAAGTAATTAGCCTCTTCCTTTGATCAAGGATAAGGCCCGAGGTATTTCTGTAGATGCAGAGCCAGAGCCCCTGCCACCCCAAGGCCCTGGAGCATCTCCAAACAGACAGAGCTTCCTCCCGCCTTCCCCCTGAAAGGCCCCCGCCACCTGCCTGCCCTTGGCCTGCACGCCCTGCAGGGCACAGCCCAGACACCTGCCCTGAGGCCTCCCCATCCCCCAAGCCTGGGCCCGGGGCTCCTCTCCTCCCCTGGCAGCAAATCTGTGCAGCCAGTGCACCTGCGCCGGGGCATGCTGCCGTCACCTCTCACCTGTCCTGCAGCTGCAAGCAATAGAAACCCAAAGGCACAGTAGCTTAAAGAAGGTGGATTTGGTTTCTCCTCCTCGCCAAAGGCTGCAGGCAGGCAGACCAGGGCAGCGTGATGCCTCCTCCTCTGAGACAAGCTGCTTCTATCTTGTCACTCTACCGCTCAGGTGGGGCCGCTGCCCATAAGCACCTTTCTTGGAGGTGACACTTGAGCTTCAGCCCCGACACCTGCAGGAAAGAGGAAAGGGCAGGGGCCTTGGGTCCGCTGGGCTGTTTTCTGTTTGCTTTTTAAGGGAAGGGGCCACCACACTCTGCATAATCTCATCGGCCTGATGTAGTCGCATGGCCACAGCTAGCTGCAAGGGAGGCTGGGAGATGTCCTTTCTTGTCTGGGTGGCCACGCGTCCAGTAAACGCCAGGGCTCCGTTACCGTGGAGGGGACGACAGGTGGGGCGCTGGGCGGGGGGAGCTGCAGGCACGAGGAGGCCTGTGGGGGCAGGGTGACCGAGCGCATCGAGAAGTGGGGGCTCCAAGTGACGGTCCCTGCCCTCTGGTGCTCTCCCATCTCTGGCAGCCCGTGGCCCTCTTTCCGACTGCAGCGGTCTGGGCCCTGCCCAGCGAGTCAGCAGGTGACCCCGCCCTGCTGTCCACCCTGCTGTCTGGGTTCCATTTGCCCCCTGCCCCTGGGGCTGGCTCTGCAGACAGCTGTGTGGGAGGATCCTCTTTTGCAATCCAGCGAGCAGCAGACCCTCTGACAACGGGGAAACTGGGTGGTTTGCTTCCCGCTGCGAGGCCCATGGCCCGGCAGAGCTTGAGCTGCACGTGTGCCCGGGAAGAGGGAGGGAAGGGTCGAGGGGAGCGGGAAGGGGAGGGAGACCCGACGCCCTTGCAGGGGGAGGAAGGATGCTCCTGAGCCCTGCCAGGCCGAGAGTGAAAGAGGCGGAAGGCGGGAGACACCCACGCACTTCCCCAATATGGCGGGTGTCGTAGCTGCGGCTCCTGAATTTCCACTCTTGGCCCCCACGCTCTGGGGACAGGAGGTCCCCTCTCCTGGCAGGCAAAGGACGAGGGGCCCTCGTCCACTCCTCCAGCCTCAGCCGGGGCAGCGGGGAGAGAAGGGACTTTGAGAGCTCCTGTGCCCAACCTCCTCCATTGACGGAAGGGGAAACTGAGGCACAGTGCAGGGCATGGGCTGCTCAAGGTCCCAGGAGAGCTGGGCCCGGATTGAGTTCCAAGTCCCTGATTTCCTCCTTAGGCCGCCCCAGAGAGCCTGTTTTGCCCACGTCATCATCTTGCTTCTAGGATGCTTAAACCAAGAACAGCCCGCAGTACCCAACGTCAGGAACTTGCCCCCACCCCGACCCCCAGAGCTACAAGTCCCCTGTTTTATGATCTCCTCCACCCTGTTTCTATCATCAGAGGGAATCCTCTGCAGGAGCAATCATTCCTCCTTGCGATGGGGGAAACTGAGGCATCGACGAGTTCGTGAGCAATGTCTTAGAAAAGATGCCTCCCACCCCCGGGGATACGCCACCCCGGTGCCCTGCGGAGGCATGCCCAGGAGCTTTGGCCAGGCTGTTGCACGCCAGGGTCTCTTCCTCAGCTGCAGGCATTAAAGTCCCCAAGAAGCCATCACCCAGAATAGAAACTCCTTTGAGTTGCAAAGAGCCCAGCCGAGTGACCTCTGCCCCCAAATTGAGCAAGAGCCGGACCCAGGAAGTTAGCAAGCCTGGGTCCCAGCCCGACACCCTGTGCCTGGAGACACTCCCTGAGCTTCACATTTGAACCGAGCGGTGGGGTTACGTGCTGGCCACCTGCCCGCTGTGGCACCCCAATATTAATATTTTTAAGTTCTAAGTCAAATGCAGAACCTGCTCCAGGCCCACCTGTCTGGTTTTGCCTCCCCCAGTGGGAGCTGATGGGGGACACCAAGCCCACCACCCTCGCCACCTCACTGTCCGGGGGTCCGGTGGGCCCCACAGGAAGCCTCCTGGTCTGGGGGGGCCACGCTCGCAAACTTGGCCTCTTGCTAATTATCCCTCCCTGTTGCTCGGCCCGATAACTGCTGCAGTTGGAAATACATGACACGCTTTTTCTACATCTGCTCCAAATTTGCATCTCAGAAATTAGAGAACTTAGTTATGTGGTATTATATGGCAATCCAGGCCGGGCCTCGGAGTATGGAACTGATTGGATACTCGGCCTAAATAAGAGGAGTTTCAAGCTCTTTCCAGGAAATTGAGTGGAACACCCAAACTGACATCCAATATTAAATATTATATTTGTGGAGTTGTTCCGTAGGGTTCCCTGGCATCCAACATCTGGGAGCAAAATTTATAAATGGAGAAACTGAATACCTGGTTGGAATGCTGCTCATCAGAGCTAAGAAATTAAAATAT